TATATATATATATATATATATATATATATATTTATATATGACAATACGTTTTTTATCATGCAACTTCTTCAACTGTTTGTCTTCTTTATATGCCTAAGCCTCAACTTTTATAGTTGATAATGCAAAGAGTAGCGTTTACGCTCAATGATGTAAACAAAATGTGCTAGTCCGTGTCACATACTCATTAGTGAATCATGCCTTACAGTTTCGAATTGGATACACTAAGGGCAGTGACTTTAGCCTTAAACAGTAAAAGATTTGTTCGGTGTAAAAACAATATATATATGTACACGTTATGAAAATTATGAAACTCTGCTTTCAGCTAATTTTAACGAACGAATTATGTTATATGGCACGAACAGATTAATTCTCATTGAATTATTATATTTGTAAAATATCGGCCATAACTTATTGTGTGTATATTCTCTTGTACATGATGTAAAGGTAGGATACTTATGTGGTATTCGTACATTATCTTATTCTCCCACTTTCTCCTACATTATTAGTGAACGAACAACGCAAATATCTAGTGATTTTTGTATTTGTTATGAACCACTACTAACGTATTGCTTTTCCTCTGCTAAGTCGCAAACATGGAAGGTTCAATTTCGTACGAGCGTGAAAGTTAATCGTAAAGTATGTAGAAAACGTGCATTTTACACGTGCACCCTCAGTTCAACATGCCTTACACGATATTCAACACATATGTTCAAGGGAAAAAAAACGTGAAAAAGGGAAACAGCGAACTAAATAAATTTTAAAAATACTACTGCAATCGATCAACTTCGTGAAGAGAGTTAATATGTAAAAATATTTCGTTTCTTGGTAATATTCAATTTTACAAACAGAATAAACTTTACAAAATAAACTTTATAAGCAAGATGCTCGTAATATCTCAGGTTTTTCGAGAAATTAATAATAATGAAAAATGAAATGATCCAAATGCACTTACAAGGATACTGCATCTAATAAATAAATACTTACAAGATATCTCTGTGTGAACATTACTAATACGAAAAAGAAAAAAAAAAAGAACGATTGCTAAACACCTTAACGTGTCCTATAGTATTATTCATATCTTTGTTTTAGATTCTACGGTACATGGTTCCAATGTAGTAAGTCGAGAAAGAACCGTTATGAACACAATATATATGTTCGTTTCGTACGTTTAAACTTGCGGTTTTAAAGAGCGATTTCTACGTAACGCCGACGTAATAATTCCTTGTGTGAGTCTTACAATAGATCATTGTTCGCGCAATTGTAAAATTAATGTCCACAACACTAATTCGATCTTCTTACGTTTAAATTTACATCAATAAAAGAAATAGTCGTCATTGTCGTGATACATGTGTCTATAAATTCATGAATACTGTAAATCGGACTATATCTTTCACATACGCAGACATTTTCAAATAAAATCGTAGTGTTTATATTACGGAAAAAGAGGAACAGTATTCGTATTCGCCCAAACGATACGTAGTCTTTCCATACGTTTAATGTAAAACGTGAATTGGATACCGCGCGCGTGTGTATGTGTGTATGTGTTCAGTGATATGCATTCTGAAAATATAAAAATACGTAACACTTCTTAAATCTGTATACAATGGTATTCTGAACTCTTTTATCCATAAAAGTGCCTTAAATGCAGCTTCTCAGCCAATCGAAATTTCTAAGCCACTTTCAGAGACACCTGTATCAATAAAAGACAGTTTAGAATAGGGCCAATGCATCTGTGCTGCTATGCAAAAATCATTCTCATGAATAACAGAAGTTAATTGAGCGAAAACGAACTGTTGGCAACGCGGAATTACAATTTATTCGGCATGTGTAACATTTTAAGAAAATATGACGTTTTGGCCAATGGGAAGTAAATTTCGTAAATTATGTAAAATTTAGATCATTAAAGTAAGATATTTTTGGAAATATTTCACTTGTCAGAACGCCAAGGAAGCTAATCGTTACTATGAATCAAGTCGTCAGCTGCGCAGGTTTCATCTTGATCACCTTGTCTTAAATTTCGAACATTAATCTTTGGCACAGTATATCAATTAAGCAAAACTAATTATAACTACATATGAGAAACAATAACATAAATGTAACATTAATTTACATGTCACAATTAAGTGTGTGTCCACACGAAACGCATACATACAACATATACCTTCTTTGTTAACTAAATCTATATCAAAATATCTGCTGAAACAGATTTCGATGCATATATGTGTATATATTTGTACGTACATACGCGATGAACATAAATATGTACGTATATGTGTGTGCATGTGTATGTTTTTGTCTAACGATTGCTTGAAACACGTCAAAGTTTGTCGAAAAAAAGGAAATAGAGATGTAATATAAATTTCGAGAAATTAACTAATTCTTTATCATTAAAAATGTGTTTTATATATAGTTTTTAATCTATATATAGATGTAGAAAATACATCTATATGAGTCTACCTATATGAGTAGAATTATATTTGTGTGTGTGTGTGTGTGTGTGTGTATAACAATACAAATATAAATATATATTGATATTTACACTTGTAATACACATTACACGCATGTATTACACATTAGAGAGATATATATTTATATTTATATCCTTTATATTGCTAGTGAAAGTAACTATATTCGGGACGTCGTCTTTGCGGTGGTGGTCAGTTCGTTTGATGTGTATTACGAGAATTATACTTACGTATGCTGTACGCAAGTATATATACATACATCTTATCTCTAACATTCACACTTTGTCCTTGCGTTACGACAAAGAACCATGTCCTTTTTTCCTTTTCACTTCACTCTTAGCTATTACACCTTTGTACACATAGCAGTTTGTATCTATTATAGAAAGAACGATATATATGTATATTTATAAATATATATCGTATATGTGTATATATGCACATACGGTATATGTATATCGTATGCGTGTATATATATATATATGTATGCGTATACATACACACGTATATAACAGCTTCACAGTTAACAGTAAGTGATAAAATAAAACAGATCAGTCCCAACTACCACCACTCGCCCCATCGTCGAGCACATCTTCCACATCGGAGGCCATACTTTCATACAGGAAATCCGATTCTGCTAGGAACTGTTGACTTCTTTTGCTTACTCCTAACTTGCGTTTCTTTGCCGCTAATGCGACCTCATCTTCTGCTGTTCGCTCCTTGCGGAATTCGTAGACTAGTGGATAAATATACTCAATCGCCGCTTGAACCGAAGCGACGTTGGGCGCTGTGACGTAATATATATATATAATTATTGCGTATTGATTTTGTCTTTATATGCTTGACATTATTATTCATAATTGTACCAATCGTAATAATCGTGAAAAAAGCAATATATATATATGGTGAACGTAATTTTTGTTTTTATATTTGGGCGTATATAATAGAGGAACAAAATTTTGTACAATTCTCTAATATCTTTCCGACAGTCTGTGATCCACAGTAATCGATTGGATGTCTTAATAATACAAGAGATATCAATAGCTAATATGTTCTATACTGTAACAAAGTATCCGATAAGCGTACGTACCAGTTACAGTAACGCTTCCTGTAGAAAATATCTTTAACGTAGCTTTTGGTTCTTTTAGCTTGTATGTAACTCCAGGATGTAATTCTGGTTCATAACTGTATATGGAAGAAAATATTTATTCAGCAATTTGGGTATTTATATTAATGATTGCATACATTATTAAATTGATTAGTAGTAAAATTTATATTAATTCAATGCTGTTGTTGTATCAATAATAATTATTGGGCGAATTATTGGATCAGCTGCATATTTAATACGCGACCCTTGTTGAGATTAACAATGTTTAACTAGCAAAGCACAAGTTTCCTCGTGATTGGTCAACAATATGTTAATACGCGTTAAATTTTATTATTGAATTAAAAGAAACTGACTAAAAAAAAAATGATATTAACAAGTTAAATAATTTGTTTATACATGTAATATGAAATATATAATATTCTCTCTCTTTCGGAATAATAATATAATTATTAATCGATAATACTTTCATACTTACTCTGCATTTTCTTTATGATATACCGAAAATGACGTTATCTTGATAGCAAATGGCATACAACAAGTGCCAAGCACATTGACCACCCTGTAGTTATTGAATCTCACTTGAAACCCAAGTTTCTGAAGAGAACGGGCAAACCTACGCGCTGCAACTTTTGCTTGAACTTCGCTGGTTGCACCTGTGCAAGTTACCTTACCAGATGACCAAATAGATGCTGTAGTATATGGTCTTCTTAATTTCATTGTTATCATCTGAAAATATTGCACATAAAAGGGATCTTATGTTGCGTGTGTATGACATAAAAATATAATATTATATCTCAAATATATAATTTCTGTAAGTAAAAAAAAATAATCAAGAGATGAAATTATTATGTAATATATTCAATTGTCACAACATATTGTCATAATAATTATAATAATTATCATAATATGATATTTACATAGAATATAATAAAAAACTTGCTGATAATGATTGTGACTGATATGTTGCATAATAGAAGTAAAGCTTGAATATGCAAATATATGTATTGAATAATTTATAGATGTGTGCACATGTGCGCGCGCGTGTATGTATATTACACATATAAATACTTGCAAGTCAATATCTTAAAAAATATAGAATGGTAAACAAGATGTTTTCTAGTTATGGAAACTTAAGATATACTTTAAAAAGAGTCACACACTAATTTGAAGAATAGCAAGAAAATCATTTTAGATGATAATGAGAACACGAGTGTGGCATAACAGATGCATTGGTCTACTATGCTAGCGGTTCCGGGTTTCGATCCCAATAGGGGCCAAAATATTTAGGCTCGTGTCTCCTTTCGGAAGGCAATGGCAAACCACCAAGAGTATCCTTATAAAAAAAAAACCTCTTTAAAAACGTTACCACTCGGAACCGATGTTAAACTGTAGATCCCATATGCCTGTGTATAATCAGTATGCACAAGCATGTGAGAGAGAGAAGTCACCTTACACCTGGCCACATATATAGGACTAGAAGAAGAAGAATAAAATATTTACGATAGAAATAGATTTCTATCACAGAATTTTGCGTATTCGACTGAATGCGATTAAATCTATGTAGTTCGATGTTTGTAATCAAGTAATGTAAGAGCAAATTCAAATTCATTTTCAAAAGTTTGCAGCTTTTCTTCAAGATACTTTTCCGAACTGCAAGTTTCGCTTTCTTCAAGATATTGACTTGCAATACATCCCTGTGACGAAACAGTCCGCACATGATAAGAATTACTGCAAAGTGTAATAATGTAACATAGGTAGTTAACATACTCCATTTTCCCTTCTGTATTCAACATTGGATCCTTTAAGAGCTATTTCACGTAGGTTCAAGTGACACCTCACACTGAAACTGCAAACTACGTTATTAATAACTATATCGAGCTCAGGAGGTTCTTGTTCCACCGAATCCACGTAGGGCTGAAGTTGACCCTCAAACAGTCTGTCATCCTTTTCTTCTGCACACTCGTCGGCATTGTCCAGATTATTAACATTCTCAACATGATTGAGCGATCGGTTGCTTAGAGGTTTCATGCCATTCTTTTGAATAGCAGTTGCCATAATATCATGTACCTGAAACAGATGTCAAAGTCGAGCCTTGAGGATCTCCATGTGCACTTGGTGCAGTCTCAAAATCATCCGTTCATGATCTCTCATAGCGTCTCCTCGTTGGTACTTGAGAAACACGGTGCAAATTAGTCCGCGACTAGGGACTCGGATCATAACAAATTGATGAACTCCCAGCTTAATGACCAACAACCGATCTAATTACGATAATCGTGTACGATACTTTCGACCAGTGGAGACCACGGAGCGGGGGCGAGACGTGGGCCCGATGCTCTACCGAAACGACGGAATCGGGAATCTATTCGAAGATCACGATGTTCGTCGTGGCCGAGTAGACGTACTTTGAAACCACATTCTTCCATCGACAGGGTCGCCGAGAAGTCACGGGCGATGCGTCGAGGTACACAACGCTCCTCGGCGCACCTCGACACACGTGCCCGTTTGCGCGCGCACTGCACGGGAACGAGAGGCGAAGCAGCTTTTGCACTGGCGGCCGATAATTTCGGCAAATTCGGGGTGTCGTAGCCGTGTTCGAAAGCGGCGTGAGAGCTCATAACGGCGCGACGGAACGCGAGGAACGACGGCGACACGCCACGACGGTCAGCGACTACCGAGAATGTTCCGCGACGAGACCGCGTTATGTTCGCTGATTCGGATGGTTCGATAGTGACTGAAGCATGCTCGGGGACTTACGTGTGTTTTGTCGCGCTTCCCAGCTCCTTCCGGATCAAAAGTTACTTCTTTGTTGACAATCGCCTGAGGAACGCAACGTTAGTTCAGCAACCATTGCCACTGCTCGCAGCCATATTCGCTAGACTGGCGAACACTGGCGATCTAAGCTGGTGGCCGATGGATCACGGACCTTCCCGTCGCGTCATTAGACGACCGAGTGCAGCGGTAAATTCATCGACGCCACATCAAAACGGCCTTAAGCACTCACTGTTACCAGGCAGAATACGGGGTCGGCTAGTGGCTCTCGCAGACCAGCCCAGCGCGATGCGACGCGCGATAATCCAATGAACGTACTGCTTTTCTAGAAGAGCTACACGTTCATTGGATATCGCGCGTTGCGTGTCGCATATCGCATCGCGCTGGATGCGAAAGCCAAGAGTGATCAACCAATCAGTATGTTTCTTTAGGTTTACGTATTCCAAAAGACGATAGAAATGACGATAAGTTTGGCCTTAGTTCTGGTCTACAATAGTGTTTTAAGCCTTAAGATTTAAAAAAACTGACTAATCATAGTCGTTTATTATAAGAATAATTGATCGCGATTAGTCAATTTGCTTAAGGCTTACGTTTTGAAGCAAGATTGTAGACAAGGGCAAACATTTGAAACTAACTATTTAAAGCCAGCGGCACACGATGCTTATTTACGTGCTGGATGGAAATATTGCGTTTTGATTGGTGTATTTCCATCCAGTAAGTAATCCAACATGAAAACAAGCATCGTGTGCCATTGGCTTATTGTTTACAGCAATCTATGTATGAAGGCGTTAATTTTCAGAGGGAAAGAATGATTAATATTAGTTAATTTTTTATTTTTAAGTAATATTTAGCGATAATTACATAATTAGAATTTGCCGTTGGCAATTCTGGAGATTAATCGTCAATTAGAATCGGAATTTAATGATATCCTTATTGTCTAATAGCGCGATGCTAATTAAGATTTTTGAATTACTTGCATCGTGTCCATATTTGTCGTTGAGTCATAACATTTAATTAAATTTGATGAAATGATAAAAACATATGGAATATTAATTTATATTTTATACATTATTTTACATTAAACGTTAGAAATGCCATAATATCTAATATCGAATCAATCATCTTTTGAAATAATACTTGAGACATCATTATTGTTTTTTTAGAATAATGAACAGTTACGATGCGTAAATATGTCAGCGTGACGCGAGCGACTGCAAAATCCCAGCTACTCTGTCGTAAAATATTAAGGTCAATAACATTATTGCTTTCTAGCGATTAGTAATTCTAGTCGGCACAGTCGGTATTGCAGGAAGTACAAAAACACATTCATCATGTAGGCAATGATGATGTTCACAGTCCGATCATACATTCAAAAGAGATCCGAAGAGATGCAGGTGGTCAGTAAGATGGGCCCTTGGGAGGAACAAATAATATCTTACGGTAAATTTAACACTATCTCAAGTACCTGAATACCTATATTGAGTTACGAATACCGTCCACACTGTCATTCCCTCGGGGCAAACGTCCACGGTGCTGGATCTCGGTCCACGTTTGTCGGCGGGATATAACAGGTACTAGAAATGATTGCAAATGTTAGTAATTTCTAGTAACCTTATATCCGGCCAGCAGCAATTCGAATCGAAAGCTATCGTCGATGGACGCGAACTTTTGCTCAAGAAACGTCGGAAGTGACGAGATGAATCCTCCACCGTATCCGGTCGGTATCCCGTCAGATCAAGGTAACAGATCAGCCGACGCCTCCGACAGATGGCGTCACCGGCGGTCGGCGCGTGCGTCTACGCCGTGAATTCCATTCCACCCATAGTCTCTCTCTTGGACGTCGACTGCGCCTGACCGTGGCACGGCGGACAGTGTATATACAAACCGTCAACGACACACGCATACACACGTCTCACATACAGGTATAGCATTCATACGCAACGCGCTTCGTACACAACGGCACTGTACCGTAGCGGTACCGTACGACGGTGGCTGGTCGCGCGTCTCTCCGAGTCCGGTGATTTCCTATTGTCTCCCCGATGATGCCTTGGTGATAACGACGCCTCCCACGCCACTGCAACGAGCCGCACGTATCCGGATCGGTAAGTAGGCGATTCCGATGATGACGATGATAATGCACGCGATTGTCCACGCCCAAGGCGGAGATCGGTATCGCGAGAGAATCGCGCAAAGTGACGGCGACAGGCGTGGACGCGACGACGAAGCGACGACGGTTCGAGCGACACGACGGCGATCAATGCGATTCGCGGGTGTGCCCGCGCTCTTTCCTTCTGCCGTGTTCTTACGCCCGTTCTGCCCGTCGCGCGATTCTCTCACGCGCGGTGGCTCTCGGTCCTCCCGGAAGGACGCGCATCTTCGCCCTCGCGCTGGTACCTGTGTGACAAGGGCTCTTTTCGAGCCCATCTCCGTGTTCCTCGCGCTTCCTGCGAACGCGTATGAGCCCACGGACGGACGGACGGACGGGCGGGCTCTCCGACGTGAGAAGCCGCGAAGGAAGGGCGAGAGGTGACATCATCGGGAGTGAGACTACGTTTGTCGATCGTAATATTTTCGACGCACACACGACAAGGACCAAGGCTCTCGTCGTCTTCCTCGACTTGAATCGCCAGGATCGGCCGGAGGTCGCGCGCGAAGTCAACGATATTCGTCGCGGGGTTTTTTTTTTTTTTTTTTTTTT